AAACTCACTTAATTCCAATCTTTTCACATCAAACCAAATTCATACAACACCCAAAATAGTCACATGACTTAATAAGATTTTCCACAAAAATAATAAAACCAAATATTATTTTTGAGGTCATTACATTCTACCCTCCTTAAAGGAATTTCGTCCCGAAATTCAACCCGCTTCGTCCTCAAAAAGATGAGGATACTTCTTCCTCATTTCAGACTCCAATTCCCAAGAAGCATCACCCTCGTCATGGTGACTCCACAACACTTTGACCAAATTCACTTGAGTTGTTCTAAGCTGTTTGGTCATCCTGTCCAAGATGTGTACAGGTGCCTCTACATAAGTTGCATCTCTATTGGCTTCAACAATACCGTAATCAATTACGTGTGAAGCATCCTTAATATACCTCCTTAACATTGACACGTGAAACACGTTATGAACACTTGACATCATTGGAGGTAATGCCAACCGATATGCCAACTCACCGACCTTATCTAGAATTTCAAAAGGTCCAACAAATCTAGGAGATAACTTCCCTTTCTTTTTACCAAATCTTATTACTCCCTTCATTGGTGAAACCTTCAAAAACACATGGTCACCAACTTCAAATTCCACACTCCGCCGTTTCTTATCTGCATAACTCTTCTGACGGTTCTGTGCTGTGCGGATTCTATCTCTGATGATAGAAACCTTCTCTGTAGTCTCTTGAACTACCTCAGTACCCATTACTTTATTATCACCTACCTCAGCCCAACAAACAGGTGATCTACATGGCATTCCATACAATGCTTCATACGGTGCCATACCAATACTAGAGTGATAACTGTTGTTATAGGCAAATTCTATCAATGCCAAATATTCATCCCAACTTCCCTTGAAGTCCAAGACACATGCCCGAAGCATATCCTCCATCACTTGATTCACTCGTTCAGTTTGACCATCAGTTTGAGGATGAAAAGCTGTACTCATATCCAATCTAGTCCCCATGGCCTTTTGGAAACTACTCCAAAACTTAGAAGTGAAACGAGCATCCCTATCCGAGACAATGGATATAGGAATCCCGTGTAGTTTCACCACCTCACGAATGTAGAGCTTACTCAGTGTGTCCACTGAATACTTCATAGATACAGGCAGAAAGTGTGCAGATTTCGTCAGTCGGTCCACAATAACCCAAATTGCATCATGACCCTGCTTAGTCTTAGGCAATCCCACTACGAAATCCATAGCAATATTTTCCCATTTCCAAACAGGAATAGATAAAGGTTTCAACAACCCTGATGGTCGTTGATGTTCTGCCTTCACCCGTTGACAAGTTAGACACTTAGTCACATACCATAGCAATCCACCAGAATTGTCTCTTAAGATCCTTGTACATCTTAGTACTTCCTGGATGAACCGTATACTTAGAACGATGAGCTTCATCCAAAATCTCTCTCTTAAGATTCTCAGATTCAGGCACGCACAACTTCCCTCTGTATCTCAAACCACCATCACTCCCAATTGTCCACTCAGAAGGACCTATAAAAGTTGGTTCAATTGTTAACTCAACCAATTTAGCTTGCATTCCCACATCTTGAGCTTGCTCCTGAATCACCTTACTAATCAAGCTAGGTTGAACTGTCATACTCCCCAGAAAAGCATCTCCTCCAACTGTAGTTGGTTTTAGGTCTACTTCTTATGCCATTTCCAGCATCTTCCACTCGTATGCCATTACAGATGCGACTACTCCTCTAGGCTTGCGGCTCAATGCATCTGCAACAACATTAGCTTTCCCTGGATGATATTCCAACGTGAAATCATAATCCTTTATGAGTTCCATCCATCTCCTTTGCCTCATGTTCAGCTCCTTTTGAGAGAAGAGATACTTTAAACTCTTATGGTCTGAAAAGAGTTCAAACTTCTCGCCATACAAATAATGCCTCCAAACTTTCAAGGCAAACACTACTGCAGCCAATTCTAAATCATGTGTAGGGTAGTTTCTCTCATGCACCTTCAGCTGTCTAGATGCATAAGCAACCACTTTACCATTCTGCATCAACACACATCCCAAACCCTGAAGAGACGCATCACTATAAATCACCAATCCTCCTCCTCCCGAGGGAATTGTCAACACCGGAGCAGTAGTCAATTTCTTCTTCAGTTCATTGAAGGCTTTCTCACAATCCTCATTCTAGATGAACGACACATCTTTCCTTGTCAACTTGGTCAGAGGTGCAGCAATACCAACTCAAGTCCTTCGTTCCAGTGATAATTTAATATGTGAAGCCTTCGTTGGTGTTATATGTTAATTTTTGGCTTATGTTTCAAATTTCAAATTTGGTTTGTAATTTAATTATTAATTTTTACATTGAGATATAATTCTTAAGATTGTATGTTTGGTTTGGATGACCATGTTTTGTATTTGGAAGTTAAGATGGCATGTAGAAATTATTTTAGGCCAAATTTTTATAGGAATGTGAATAGGGTCTTATATGCTACTTAAGTCCACAAAGAAACAAATTTTTTTATTTAAAAAAAAAAATAAACCGGCCCAAATCGGAAAATCGGACCGAATCAGACAGTTCAGCTTGATCTGGTTTTTCTTCTATTTTTTTAAAAAACCGGACCGGACTAGATGAACAGTATTGGTTTCGGTTTCGAGTTAAGCTTTCAACCGGGCCGAACCGGATCGCGCCCAGCCCTAAGGGTGATTTCTCCCAACTCCAGTGACCATTTCAAGCAAGACCGGTCCCGTTAGAACCACCACACTTCCCTCTTCCAATCCCAGCCCATCCCAACCTCGATCCGCCGTCGTGATCGACGGAAACCGCCACGAAACAGTGCTGTTTGGACAGTTTTTGACGGAATTTCACGGAGCTCGTTCTCCCTCCTCTGACCACCGTTTCATGCGAGTGAGGTACATCAAATAATCACCTTTGTCAAGCACTTCGCGAAATAAATAGGATGCATCGAGCTAGAAGTATCTGGCAACCCCCAGTCTAGAACATCAGAAACTTCAGATTCTACAACCTATTTTAACCAAAAGAGGCACGTCAACTTGAACATGGATAATTACGAAGGTAATGAGAAAAGTCTAGGATGAAAGATGGTGGGACGGGAGAGGACATTAAATAGGGAAAAGAAAAGAAAAGAAATCTACAATGTACAATGTCAGAATATGTGACCAAGAGATAGTAATCCAGAAAATAAAACTTCTAAGTCATCAAAGGAAAAACGTGGTTTATAAGTGGGGAAAAGTTAGCCATCCAGTCTTATTAGAATTTATATGGTCTTTGGCAGGATACAATGTCTACCCGCTTCCCTCTTATCTATATAAACATCGAATTGATAGTGAAATGGAAACTCTAAAGTATTTAAAAGTTTACTTAGCGTTTATTTTCTCCTAGCGGGAAAGGATTTCCTTGCTAATAATTTCGAGCCCAAGGCCTCTCAGAAGCATCAAGATGAGGCTAGGAATTTCTTTTGCATATTTTTCATATTTTTTACCATCTTCTTTGTCTATTTCTGGTCTGCAGACCAACAAAGTAATAAAATCTAATATCTTTTCTTTAACCTAATCACTGTTATTCCATCTATGTTTGTTGAACCTCCAAATCCAATCTTAAATAAAAGAGAGACTGTCATATTCTTCTAGAAAACAAAATTGCCTTTACTGACCTCGAGATAATCATCATCAAAAGGGATTTCATCACTATTTCCACCACCTAGAATGTTGAACTCACCAGCTATTCTTCCATCATCATATGTAGGGATATCCATCCCAAACAAAGCATTCTGAGGGCAAACACTCATATTAGAAATCAATTTTGCAATTAGCACAAAAGCATAATAAAAGAAAAAGGAGATAAAATGAAAAAATAAGTAAACAATATCAATTACACTAAAGTCTTAACTGTCTAAGCTGATATAGATGTCAACATACAAATGTTCCCACACTACTGTACTGCTTTGCTGCAGTCTAAAGTGCTAAATACATCCATGAACGCATTAAAATATAAATATTGAAATCCAAATCTCATAATGTCATAGGATTAGCTCATTTTCATGCAATTGCCTATAGCAGTCAACAGAAAATTAAAAAAATTACTTTGATTGCATGCAAACTACGTTATTTGAAAGCCGAAACGAGCAAATGAGCTGTACACACACAGAGAGAGTAAATATTAATTTGTTGGAAACTTATTAACAAGTACCACAACAGAAAGAAAGAAAGAGCAAGAGAGAGAGACAGAGAGAGGTTGGAGGATATGGCACCAAAAATGGGCACCCATGAAAAGTTCATAAAATCACTTAATCCTTTTCCCCCTTTCCAGTGTAATTGAGGGCATTGCTTCTAAACTTAAACATCTGGAATTAAAATGAATGGAAAGAAAAAGTATTAAAGCAACCAAATCCTCACCACAGGGTTACTTGCTGCAGGATCCTCTAACAAGTTTGCATCATCAAAAATTTCAAAATATAAATCTACAGAAATAATTAGAATAACAAGATGGAATCAGAATCAAGAAAAAAGTACACATAAAAACATTGACTTATGCACTTCAAAATAAACATCAAAAGACCTCCATAGTCGTCGATAACATATTCAAAATCAGCCCAGGAAATTTGTTCATGTGGTTCACAGTGTATCTTCCCCGGGAACACCAGCAAAGCACTGCAGTTCGCCTAAGGCAGAAAGGAAACTTTTAACCATGCATGGTAATAACACCAAGTACTTCAATTGTGGATGCTAGCTAATTAGTCCCTCAAAACGATACTTGCAGGTCATCATCCATATGCCAACTGACTGACTTTTTTGGTACTCAAATTTTAAAATTAATAGAACAGCTGTATCAAAAACAGAGACCTCAACTGTTGTTCGTGCTATTTCAGCAGAAGTGAGTTTGGTGTCCCGGACCATTTTGCAGACTTTCACTTCTTCAAGAGGATGATAACCTTGGTTAGTAATATAACTAGAGGAATCAGGAACAGAATCTGAGTAATCTGCAGCAACCAAAACTTTGGAAAGGCAAAGGTCATGTCCAATAGACAGCCAGTGGAATTGGGTTGATCCAAGTAATGGATTCCTGCAATTAAAACTATAATAGAAAAAATAAACTTTTGACCTAACAGAACATAAATTTTGTAAAATAAACTTTGAATTCAATCTAAAATTAATAGCTAAAAAAAGGGGAAAAGTGAAGGTAATGGTTGGAAAAGAAAAAAAAAATCCCCCGTCAAGTTACCACCCACACATCTTTCTCATAATTCCATAATTTTTTTTTTGACGAAAAAAAAATTTCTATAATTTTTATTTAGAACATTAAATTCCTCATGTCTTGTCTGTAAACATCATATCTGAGTGCAGTGATCACATGAAGGAAAGGAGAAGAAAAGAAAGCTGAGAAACTCTACATTCACCCCAATAAGAATTGTATGTGCACCCAAAGTTCAAAGCAAAATATAATCATGTTTCTTGGTCGGTGCAAAAGGTTACTCACGTTCATTCAAGCAGAACTATTTTCATCTGAAGGAAGGTATTCTTTTCTTTCCCTCCCTTACTCAGGCAACCGCTAATAGTTATCCTATTAAAGGCATATCATACTCAGCACAGACTAAACCCAAATATTCCACATATTTTGTAGAAATAATAATGCCACCATATATATTGATAAGATCAATCAATTTTAAACTAAAGTACACCTTACGCCTGGAAGATCAAGGGCTCTTCGACCATCAGAAGGAGGTTTCATCCAACTGTTTGAGATCCCATGTGTTGTAGAACAACAAACCCTTTCTGCATGGCACGAATGGCAATGAGAAGAACCTGAAAAATCCATTTTAAAAATTTTCAAAAGAAAAAAAATGTCACGAGCGCCGCAAAATTGAAGCTTCCAAGCAGGAGGAGCTAATGGAAACAAAAACCCGAGAGGCTAAAAGACAAAAATTAAATAAATCAATAGTCCAACATAAGATTAAAACTAATTGCCAAGAAATTTAAAGGAAAACTAGAGGAAATCAGCAAGAAATCGAAATTTCAATAATATAAACTTATTCTTCATTAAAATCTGAATATTACAATTATCTTTCTTTTCTTTTATCTTTTTGTTTTTGCTTGTATATGCTCACAGCAAGGGTGAAATATGATAACCAAACCAAGAATCAACTCATATTCTCATCAATTCTCAGTCCCAGTAAACTAGCACTTACAATCAATCATTTTTTTGCATGTGGGTATTTCTTCAACAACTATGATCCTTCAATAGAAAGCTGATACAACCACTCAAGCCAAGCTTTTTCTACGAAAATTGTGACAAAAATCCAAATGGGTTTCTGCCAAGGCATGCAAATCAAACTGGGTATTTCCCATATTGCCGTTTCATCGACTCTCAGCTCCCAGTAAGGCGTGATCCTACTAAATTAAAATAAAAACAGAAACCCAAATGGAAAGAAAGTCATATGATCGTGATTTACCGAAGGGAAGAGAAGCAGCAGCTGCAATTGCCATTAGAGATGGAGAGCTGAGTGATGGAGGATGTCGTATGATGAGTATCGATGTCGTTGTACATTGGGGTGCTTTACTTTACGGTGTGATTAGGCCCTCCACATGTTTCTGCTAAGCATTTTAACTAGCCTCTCATCTCATCTTCTGAAAACATAAAGGGGAGTTTATCGTCTATTCCTGCATATTCAAAGGGAGACATTAGGCAAAAGACGCGTAATTTTTGACATTAAAAACTTCATGAATTACATAAAATGCCACGGGTATCAAATACATGTGAGCTAGGCCTGGCATGAATTGGTTCAAAACGGTAGAGGGCTCTTCCATTAACCGTACTGAAGTTTTCGATAGGCTAATTTCTCTTTTGTTAACCGAATATTAGGACCTTTAATCATTTGGATCGGTTAACTAAATATTTGATTTGGGTTGGTTCGGTAGGCCAATAGCACCGTTTAACAAAAAACATACTAATTATGTACAACATAAGTTTCTGAACAAATACTTCAAATTCTCCATGTAGAAGATTATAAAAAAAACAATAATCTAATTCATCCAAGTATGAAATCAAATAACCTAGTATAAAAATTACAAAGAAACATGAAAAATACATAATAAAATAGCAAATAATGTTACAAAATAACATAAAATTAGTTTAAATTGAGATGTCTTACATGTAGTATTTAAATGATACTACAAGGAAGAAGTGCCATTATGAGAGTCACATCTATAATTTAGCTTACAACATATGCACCTAGGTTCAAACCAACAACATAAACTAAATGAATTAAACAAAATCTAAAACAGAAAAAGTATGATGGTCTATAACAATTATTTGGAGTAATTATGTTCAATATCATTTCCATATCACAGAAACCCATGCGAGTATGAATTTTCTAAATAAAGCATAGACAAACACATACACAAGGATTTGTCCAAAAAAAACACATACACAAGGAAACCCATATTATGTGTTTGTACAATATCTGGCCAAGCACTCCCAAACACTCCCAAGCCAAAGGGAAAGGAGTCCCACATCGACAAAACACAAGAGGAGGGGACTCTTCCTCACTTATAAAAGAAGACCCCTCTCCTTCAAGGAAAGGAGGGGAGAAAGAAAGGAGGAGAGGGCAGGCTACTGGGGCCCCACGGGTTTACCCATGAGCCCATTTACAAACCCACGGATCATCGGCCATCAGCCAGATCATCGGCCATCAGCCAGATCCTCAGCCTTCGGCCATCAGCCTTCGGCCTTCAACATTTGCCTTCAGCCTTCGGTATTCTTCCTCTTCCCCTTGGGTCTAACCCTATGTACAATGTATACACACATTATCATAATGAGAACATACTT